AGATATATATAGTACTAATATAATTATTAAAGTTAAGAATAAATCCTTCTTAGCTAAGGATATCTATACTAATTAGTAAATTAGTATAGAGATTATTAACTAGATAAATATAAATTCTAATCTTAATAAAAGTATTATTATTATCTAGATAACCAGGAATATATATATTAAATAATATATATTTAGATATAGTATAGCAAGAACTAATATTACTAACAGTAATTAGATTATTATTGCTAATATCAGAATCAGGGATCTATCTAGCAAACTCAGTATTAATAATAGTTAATAAGTAACTGGTATCAAGACAGACTTCTTGATACTTCTTAGTAGTATTAAGTCTAATATAAGTAATAGTATAATACCATAATTTAAGGCCTTACTTAATTAGTAAATTATTATTTAGGCTATGATCTGACTTGATAATTTAGGTATATAAAGTGATAACAGTAGGAATAACTAAAGACAGGTTACTACTATTCTTTAGATAGGTAGGCAGATACTTATAGAGACTATTATTAGATATAAACTTCTTGCTATACTGGCAATAGATAAAGATAATTAAGTTATCAGTAACTAAATCAGCATAAGCTAAATAGACTTTATAGTTATTATCTTAACTATCTATATTATTATAGTCAATCGGGTTTTCCTAGATATAGTATAATAGATCATCAGGTTTATAGTACTCATCAAATAATTAAGAATCTGGATTATCAGGCTCTTACAGGGACTGCTGGATATCAGTTCCAGGTTTAATATTAGGCTTGCTATCCAATTAAGAAGGACCAGATTTAGAGGCCTCAGCAGTATAAGCTAGATTCTATAGAGATTATTAAGATTAAGATTAATAAGATATTTATAGATAATTTAACTGTACTTATAGCTGGTTTTATTATTAATATCCTTAAGTATTCCATGTCCCTGGATATGGATTACTGTAGTTGGCGGGTTTATCAGTTAGCAGTAATTGACCAGGTCTTGGGACTTGTACTTAGTTATTCTGGTTACTATTATTATTCAGCGCTTGCCTTTGTGGATTGACTTGGCATTGATTCAGCCATATAGATTAGTATTGATAGTATGGTTATTAACTATACCAATACTAATTAGGGTATTGGTTGGGATACTTATTGGTAGGGAACAGTTAATAATACTGGTTAGGTCTGTACTAGTTAGTATAGGATCTATTAGAATAGTAACCGGGAACTTGGGCTCTTTAGAAATTAGGTTAATATGATTTACTATAATACTGATTGTTTTACTTTTGATTGGCACAGGACTGATAGGATAGTACCAGGTTCTGCTATATGTATTCCTAATATTTCAGTTGTTAAAGGAATAGTATTATAGTAGTGTTAGATTATGATTAGAAAATATACTGCTGTAATTGGAAGTCTAATTAATTCTAAATCATGTTTATTTAATTAAACAGGTCATATATTTCTGTATTACAGATATAACAGATAACTTTCTCAGCAAATGTCTAAGGCATATAACTAGCTAAGATATTATTATATCTAAATAATATAGTATTCAGCTTATTAAAAACTACTGCAGGATTGGGTTTAAATCTTTTGACAAGCTGGTCTAACCAGTCTTCAGCTATTAAAGATTAATAAAGATATCTCTTTTCTATTTTACTAAGCTAAGAGATAAATTAATTAAGGGCAGTACTATATAGATAATCCTAAATATTTAATTAAATAGCTTTCTTATCTTAGTACTGAATAATATTATATATATAGTTAGCAAAGACATTAATATTCTTATAGTATACTTAGTTATTTAATTACTTAACAGTGATATTGTCTTTTAAATTAGGCCAGAAGTAGCTAATTTCCTTAATCTTTAAGGAGCTATTTGCAGTATTATTACTAGAAGACTCTAGAGATTCTGGTAGTTCTTATAATCCTGGTTAAGAAGTAGCTTAGCTTTAATCTTTAAGCTAATCTAACTATTACTTAAGTTATTCTACTATATTTATTAATAGATTAAGGGTCTCTTATAAATTTTGATTGATTAATATATTTAATAGATTCTGAGTATAATAACTTGATAACCCAGGGTTAGCTATAGTATCAGTAGTAGTAGGATTATCTATATAAGGTAAATTATTGCTAAATAGATTCTTTATAATAGAACTAAATAACTTGATTCTCTTATAGCTCCTTGAGGTCCTTCGTGCTGTAGAGGGATTCTCAGTAAATAATAGATCCACTAATAATAGTGTGCTTGCTACAGACTGAGATCATGATAGTATTTGGGCTCAGGATTGCGATTAAGTTCTGGCTAATCACTTGATAGGTTATGCTGTATCGTTACGGATTATCAATCACTCGCGATATTCAGGTAAGTCTATTATAGTAAGTATCTTAGTAAGGTTAATAAATTTAGCAATCACTTGATTTAACAAATTATAATTAAGTAACCAGTCAGGAGAATAGATATAGTAAAAGATAGAATAAGAAGATAACTAGTTCTCTTAGTAGAATTCTATAAGTAGGGAGGTCTGTTTATTAAGTAGATCAATAGATATTTAATAAGTCTCTCTAAACTTTAATATCTGATAGCCTAGCTCAATGATATATTGGCTCAGTCTAGATATTAAGGTAGAAGCAGAACAGGGATATTAGCTAATAGAATAATAAGATTAATAATAACTTTTGATAATCAGATATGATAACAATAGATATAGGACTAAGAGAATAGAAAGAATGATAGTTAATTAGTAAAGATAGAGATATATAGGTAAGTACTGTACTTAGGTGAATCTGGAGGTTTATAGGTCCTGTAATCTGTAATGTAATTGGGTGATAGGTGATCTGACTATAAGGTGTGTGGAGGCCCCATACAGGCCAGTACAGCGCAGCTTCAGGACTGCTGATTTTTATCAAGCTTTTATCAGGAATATAATAAATGACCCTTGAGGTAATCCTCAGGAAAGAAATAAAGACATGCTACTAATTATTGGGTGGTTCTGATTATGGTCTGGAATGATTCCTTTCTTCAAGCTGCAGGAGCGGGATGTTGCTAAGTTCTACATACAAAGCGGTGAAAGGGGCGGTACAGCAAGGCAGGCAGAAAGGAACGGGAGCGATAGCGAACGGAACGCAACACTTCTAATTATTTATATAGATAATACTATTATAGTAGTATCTATAGATTAGATTATTAATAATCTTTTTATTAAATTTGAAAAGATATTTATAAAGATACTAAATAAATTTAATTAATTTTAGACCTGTTAGGCCCGCGGGTTGGGCCGGGTTTTTGAGGTTGTTCAACCCAGCCCGTTGGGTTTGGGCCGGGTTAAAGATGATATACAAACCACCCACAGGTCAAGATATATATTATAATATATATGGACCACCTGCAGAGACCCATAACTGTAGATACTTTTCTACTATAGTAATGATTTATATTATTTATATAATATAATCTTATAATACAGTAATTTATTTATATTACTATAGGTAAATAATATATTTACAGTATTTTTTGTCTTGGTAACCCACAGGCTAACCCGTTGACCCGTGGGCCACCCAGGGAAGAAACCCGGCCCATGCCGGGTTATTGCATTGATCAACCCAGCCCATTTCTTGCCGGGTTGGGCCGGGTTGGGCCGGGTTTCGTGGGCTGGGCCTAACAAGTCTACTTTGTAGTATCAAAATCCTAGAACCAGAAGTCTTATAGATTACTTAAAGCTGGCTGATAAATAAGCTCTGGTAATAGAGCTGTTCCATCCGTATCAATATAAGTAATAATAGTAACCTATTCATAATTACTATCTTGTAGGCGCTGCTTTATCCTATCCTGCTCATAGCGGCGCCTGGAAAAGATTCTTTTACCCTTAGATAGTACTCCAATAAGAAATCCTTTTTTATCTATATTATATATATTTTGCTGTATTTCATATTCCTTGATCTTTCTGGCGAGTAACTCAAAATATAGAGTATACTTGAATACAGAATCAGCCCTTTTATATATAGAATCAATTATAGTGGTATAGCAAGAGATCAGCTTATTTTAATACTTCTTTAGAAAATAGCTTGGCCAGTGCTTTATAGACTTTATTCCTGAGATCTCTTTCACAAAATTCTGAAGTATCTTAGAGATAGGATACAGGCCTCTCTCAGAGAGTTTATTAATATAACTTATAAGAGTTTTGGCTTGCTGGCTGTTAAGTAATCACTGGTTTTTATATTGGTTCTCTTTTGAATATAGAACACCCAGGTAATATCTTGAGAGAGTTATATAATTAACTCCAATTCTTTTCACCACTTCTGCATATTTAAATGATTATCCTGGATCTAGGGATTCTAAAAAAGCAAGCGCCTCATCAATTGAACCCATATTGACAGAGTTGTGATAGTTTGAAGTTGAAGTCAAAAAGTCGGTGTATATAGAAATCCGTGCAGGTGGGGACGTGCGTCAGGTGATCAAGTACGGTACGGGTTGGGTACGGGTCAACTTGATATTGGACCCGAACCCGACCCGTGGCGAGGCCTATGATGAATTGTAGTAGAAGAAGTAATCTAATTGCCAGATTACTTATACAGAGGGCCTTTTAGTCCAGGAAGACCGCGAACTCATACAGTGTGAGAATGAGGTTCATAAAGCTCAAGGTAGTGTCTATACTACTACTATATCCTATACAAATTAACGGTCTGTACGGGCGCCACCACACTGCAGTGATTGCAATATTCTAGGCCATAAAAGGATCCATTTTCCTAATTGTTTTAGTAATTATTTATAATACAATGCATTTTTTGGTGTTGAATCATGGTATATTTATTGGCGATCCTAACTGGAGGCATGGCTTGATCTGTGATAATATTCTAACAGTACTTAGCTATCTATGACTGAGCATTGTATGAGGATTTGCTAGTATGGTAAGGAATATAGCAGAAGCCCATTCCCTAACTCAAAAGGGTGATTCTCTTTCCCTATCCGCTAGAAAGAAGAAGTAAAGTTTTGCCAAGAAACGGAATTAATTACAGTACTCCGTGCGTATTTTCTTTGTTTATATCTGCATCAGGGCCATGACATTGTGACATTGTGACGCCATCTCTCTCAGCCTATATACAAGTCTCTCTACAATGCTGCAGTGAATACTTCAACCCTCCTGTCTTAAAACACATAAACTTGCGTTATAGGCATACGATGTCAGTGGTCAATGAGTAAGTTAAAAAGGAATATATATATATTGTCTGGAGGGCTATGCTGATGAATTGCAAGTCACATCTGCCGCTTAGATGCACAACTTGATCAAGTTAGGCAACAAATCAATGACTCAAACCTTGCTTCTCTAGATATTTCTAAGCATAAACATGATGTCGACGCCGCTACAAAACACATATCTGACTTAGAAAATGTCATCGGTTCTCTTTCTGTAACTTCCAAGTCCGAACCATTGCTCCCTCCTGAGCATATTGTGGGATTTATTTCGAAGCTCCCTTGCTCCCTGCTCGAACCACATGGACTTCTTCCTGATGGGTCCACTGACAGTGCACTAGAAGAACTTATGTGGCTGGCAGTCGCGAAGGCGACAGTGCAGACTTTAGGGGTAGTATTGAAATCTTTCCTCGGTCAGAGTCTGCTCCTCAGTGATGAAATTTTTTATTGGGACGCCATACTAGACTCGTATTGGTACACCTGTGCTTATACGCTACAAACATCACCTTTCCGGGTATGGCGCCGGTTGACCAAATCTCACCCAAACGTGACTGGAAGCGGCGCCAGAGCAAGACCTCCCTCGCCGGTCTCATCCAGATGGGCGCAAATTTACGAGGCCATACAGAGGTCCTTCAATACCAGAAACTTGCATGCTCTACAGGAAAACGTCGTTTCACCATTTATGGCAGCCAGGTTTGAGATAGGGCGGAACCGGGAAAAGCTAAAGACCTTAAAGGATCTCAATGCTGGTGGTATCGGGCTCCTTATGAAAGAATGCTTCCCTAATCCATCAAATCGCGATAGTTGTAACCGGACAGGTCCCATTTCTATAAGTAACCAGTTGCGTGGTACGGTCTATAGGAGTGTGGTCTTGATGGAGACATTCTTACAAAAGTTGCCAAGTGACAGTGATGCCTTTGACTTTGGGGGAAGCATACTTTCAGCTGCTAACGAGGGGGTTGCACGTCTCCAAACCGAATCTAACAACATGTGCGCACCCCCAGCACCCAGACTAGCTCTTAAGCGACTACAGGATATTTTGCTTAGACTTCTTCCCGCCCAGAAAACCCTTACATTTGCAACTCTGAAGAAGCATGGGCGTCCAGCACGTCTTGTGCGCTACTGGCTTCCACTGTCAGTAATGCTCTTAACTGCAAGCACCTCATTAAGCATTCTGACAAACCACCGCCATCAGCTTATTCAGTGGGTTTTCAATACTGGAGAAACTACAATTGAATTCTGGAACAATTGGGTTCTAGACCCAATCCAAAGGCTTATCGGAACCATAAGGCATAATGAAAAAAGTGAAATTGCTTTGATGAGCAAGAACAGCCTGGAAGCTGACCGGTCGAGCTTAGAGAGGATGGTAATCGACTTCATCCTTGATCGCGGCGAATCAAAGCCTGGACATTCTGTCCTTGATATCAATTCAATTGCAAATAAGGTTAGAGAAGGCGATCTGACACCGGTACTAAAGGCGTACGAGAAGGATTTAAGGACTCCTTTTGTCGGTACTGTACGGGGTGACCTTGTACGAGCCCTCTTGATCCAAATCCAGAAGACGAAGGTAGATGTTGAGATCGCAATCAGCGGTATTGATGCTTTGCTGAAGAGTCAAGAGCTTGTTTTTGGGTATGCGCGTTCTTTGGCATAATTTGGTAGGAAGGCTAACAGGCTGTAGTTTTGTTGGTCTTACACCAGGCATTCTGGTTTCCTACGCTACGCTTCGATGGTTTGGGGGCATTTTCGGCAATAGAAGGGGCCTAAGAGCAGGTAGGCAGCAAGATGAGTTGAGGCATGCACTACGGTATGTAGGACCAAATAGTGCAACGTGCAACGTGTTGACCTAGGGTAGGAATGCTCATCGTACTTTGATATCCTCTACCTCTACCATATCTGGCCTGCTCACATACAGAGACTATGGCCTTCTGATATGCGAGACTGAAGTCCTCCTCAATAAAGCAGGAACTGTTCTGAAGGGAGTAGATCTTCGCGCTTTTCGGGAAGATATCAGTGATCTTATCAATCAGAGAGTAGTTGATCGGCAGCTTGAGATATTCGGTAGAATGGGTTGGGTCTACTCGAAATGGATTCAGTGATGATATGATGCTGGGTATACAGTACTTTACCGGCTCTTGGTGGGATTGTGCCTACTCCCGTTAGCCAAACATCTGAGGTGGCGTGCTACTTTGAGTCAAGGGTGAATAGCAAAACTAAGAGCGATCTCTAGGTGTCGGCCGCTTCTATCTCTACTTTAATGGACTGGTATATATATATATATATATATATATAGACCATTTTCTGATTTAGTGGATATGTCCAAGGAGGATTGAGGTAAGCCATAAGCAAGTGATAATGAATTGGTATTCTGGCACTTACTGAGGGAAGCTTGAGGGTTGAATAAAGTATGGTGATATTGTATTAAATTAAGTCAACCGATGTGTTACAGGATGAATAAGCTGTTCCAACCTAAGCGTGCCTATTGAACAAGAAGAAATAGCTAATTGACAGGAATAACGTGCTGTACAAAATATTTATGTGGTAAAGGCTTGATAGCAATATCTTAGGCAGAGCCTCCCATAATATAAGGCTGTCTATAAGTCACTTCTATAATGTAATTATGCTTCTCTCTCTCCCCTTCTATATAGAGAATTAATATTAACAGTCATAGGAGATTAATACGGTTTATATCTAAAGAAATTAGCAGTTAGTATAGGTTTAAATTAAGTTATTAATATAATATTATATTTATATGTTGGTTTTTATAGATAATATAATGCAAATCAAAGATAATAGATTAAATTATATAAATGATAAATTATAGAGTAGAGTAAGAAAAAAAATATTCATAATAGATAAATTAAGGTAAGATAAAATAAGTGAATATTGTTGCGTTGTTGCGCGCGCAAGGCAGAAAGAGCGATAAGACTAGTGTGACAGAAAGACAAGACAAGCTACCCAGAAAGGGTAAGAAGAACCCTGAATCACATGATAGGGTATACAGGATAGTATACAGGAAGGACTACAGTATATAGTATAAAGTATATATCATGGTATAAGGATATACCATAGCAGGATAAGTATATAAGGACACTGTTACAGACCCTTGTCTAGTGCACTTATCGGACGCGGAACCAGGCGGCAGAACCAGTGACACGACAGTCAAAGAATCAAGCACTAGCGCTGAGGAAGGAAAAGCACCAAAGGACATCCAATTATGTGAGTAACTATCGCGTACACATAATTAATGGATCACGTGACCTGAACATGTTACCAATAAGCCATATCATGGCAGCGTTACAATCGAAACATGTTAGCAACATGATATGATATATCAGCAATATAATATATCATGGCAGTGACATGAGAGAAAGAAATATATAAGGACACTTATTTCATATATTTAGATAGTTCTTTATAATTAATCTAAATTATTACTTAGAATATATCTTTAGTATTAAGTTAGCATTTAACTTATTTATACTTTCTTAACTATTAAGTATATATACTTAATAGGCCTGGCCTTTTGGACTTGAGCTATTCACAGACTAGTATTATATACTATTAGACTTAGGTTAAGTTATATTGTCAGACCTTGGATTAGATTATTATATTAGATCTTGGATAAAGATTATATTCAGAGCTATTGTCACTTATTATTCAGGACTATATCGGGTTTACTGTTATATAGATTAGTATTTCTACAAGGCAGCTAACGCTATATAGCTCTTGATTAAATATCCGGGTATAATATATTAATTACCAGTCTATATAAGTTGAGTCTTGTAGGACTTAAAATATTAATAATATATCTTTATAGGGATCTAGTAAGCAGAAGACTCCAGTTAAGAATATACTGCCAGTAAATACCAACTCTGAACTAGAAAAGACACCTGGTCTTAGAAACCAGATTACTGAAATAAGAAGTGTTATTGAATAACTAGTTAATAATACTAGAGAATAGAATACTAAGATCAAAATCCTTAAAGCATAATTTATTAAAGCTGAAAGATAGCAGTAAGAATACTAAGATAATATTACCTAGCTTAATACTCAGATCAGTATATTAGTACTAAGAAATATAATTAGAAAGGTAAAACTGCTAAAAGCTAAGTCTTTTAACAGAACTTACTTTAAGTTACAGATCTTCTTAATATAGATAAATATATATATTTATATAAACCAAACTAGTTTAATTAATAAAGTAGATAAAGTTATATTTATATCTATTTATTTATATAGAGCAGCATAGAATTAGTTTAAATCCTATATTAGGAAATACTATAAAATTATACTGGATAGGTAAACTATCATAATATAGGAGTTATTTACTGACTTAGGAAACCTGCAGAAATACCTTAAATATATTTTTAGGGATATTAATGCGGAAACCATAGCTAAACAGAAGTTAAAATAGCTATACTAGAGAAATAATATATTAACTTATACAGTAGAATACTAACAGATTATCTTAAGACTTAATTAAAATAAGAAGGTCTATATTTTAATATTTATCAGTAGCCTAAAAAGACATGTAAAGAATAAATTTATATATATTAATAGACTAGTAACACTTAATAAAGTAATTAACTTTACTGTTAAAGTAGATAACTGCTATCATAAACAACTTATAGAGAATATGAAATACTAAAGCCTAGAGAAAAAATAATTATTAGCTAAAAAACCAGTATAAATTAAATAACCAGTATAAATAAACAGATAGAAGATATAGTAATCCCTATAGTCCCTAATCCATGAAATTAGATACTAATAACAAGTAATAACAGCACAGTAATATCTCTTAGAAAAAAAGAAAAAAGTATAGAAAAGAATGACTATATTACAGCTGCGGAAAGTCAGGATATTTTACAGAGAGCTGCCCGTAAAAACGACAGTAACAACAAGGCAGGAAGCCATAATAATTAAGAGCAGTATACTTTAAAGAGCTAGCTCAGCTTAACATGACCTTAGAGAAAGGTATATATAATACTACTGGAGTGCTTAAGAGTAGGATAGAGTCTATGCACCTTAGCGCTATAAAGGTGGCTGGCCCTGAGAATACTAAGCAACGGATCCCGGATAGGAAGGACAGACCTGATGATGGAGTTTATTACTACAGACCTGATAATGGAGTTCATTGCTACAGACCTGATAATAGAGTTTATCACTACAGACCTGATAATGAAGCTTATTACAATAAGCCAGCTCTAAGGCAAGGAAATGTAAATTAAGTTTTGCAAGAAATTGATTCTTTAGATAAAGAGTACAGTACTCAATAGACTGACCATAATTCCAATATGAAGGAAATCCTTGAGATACCTGAGACACCTGAAAATCTCTAAGAAGAAAACCAGGAAAATGAATACCAGAGAGTTATAGAACTCCTTGATATACTACAGACAGTGGTCAATAATCCTGCAAGCTAATAAATGACAAGATTACAATTATCATAATATATTTAAAAAAAGCAAGATAAACTTGTATACTGGATAGATAATATAATCCATAAAATTATAAAAGATTCCAGGAAATTTTTAAGACTACTAAGAAGACTATTTCAGTAGTGTCCACACTGGAATTATATATACTGGAATAATCTAAACTAAAAAAGCTAGGAAAAACACCAGCAGCACTATAACAATCATGAGAACAAGTATAGTATATATAGAGAAGATAGATAAGAATACTATCAAGCTCTTAGCGCAATATAACCTAGATAAGCTAGAGAAGGATATAGAGAAGTATATTTCTTATAGATATATATATATCTATATTTCTTAATATATCCAGGCTATAAGAGTTTTCTGTAGATTATTTATTTTAAAGATCTCTATCTATATTACTATAACTGGAAGGTAATAGTTAAGTTTTAGCCTTAAAATAGACTTTATAGCTATATTAAATTTATAGCCACAGTATAAGAAAGATATTTTACTATAATAATTATAATTAGTAATATACCCGCTAGAATAATAATTAATTCAGGAGTAATAAATAACTTTATAGTATCTGAATACTAGAAATAGATAAATATTATAGAATAACTAAAGAAAGTTATTATATCTATTTTAGAACTAGATAGCTAGAAATTAGAAACTGGTTAGATTATAGTTAAAATAGAATTTATCTCTATAGTTATTAAAGCTTATATTAAATACTTAGCTTTTAATATAATGTCTCTAGGAGACAAGTATAATATAGTATTGGGAATTTCCTGGCTTAAGGGATATAATCTAATGATAGACTAGAAATATAGAATACTCCAGCTAAATAATTACTATTGCCTAACAGGACCATATACAGGATATGATATCCAGATCCTTACTAAAAATATAATAGGATATTCTGTATATAGTAGAGAAAGAATTAAAAGATATAATCAGAATACTATAAAGGAAAATACTATAAAGACTATAATAGTAGCAGTAACCAAACTCTTAAAGAAAGAATAGTTAGCAGAAATAACTGGATAGATATTAGAGAATAAGAATAAATATCTTGAGATTATAATACTAGACAGTAATTTAGAAAAGAAATAGTACTCTTTACTAAAAAATATAGAAGTATCTTAAAAAAGAGATTTTAACTATTAAAAATATATTAATTCTCAGGAACTAGTGACTATCTCTATAGAGTAGCCAAGACTGTCCAAGAAGTATTAGGAGTTTAGAGAACTATTTAAATAATTATAAATACTGGAATTACTATCTTATAGACTATATAACTATACTATACCTATTCAGAAAGAAAAGAAAATAATATATAAAAAACTATATACTATATTATAAAAAGAGCTATAAGTACTTAAGGATTATATTAATAAATAACTAGTAAAAGAATATATTAGATCTTTAAAATCTCTTATAAGATATAGAGTTCTATTTATTCTAAAAAAGAAAGAAGAGTTATAACTATATATTAATTATTAACTATTAAATATAATTATAATTAAAGATAGATATCCATTATCTCTTATATTAGAGATCCAGGACAGGATTAGAGAAGTAAAATAATTTATTAAATTTAATATTATCAGTGCCTACAATACCTTATAAATAGATAAAAAAAAGAATAGAAAATGGTATTTTATATATAATTCAGATACTATAAGTATTTAGTTATACTATTTAGATTAACTAATATACCTGTATTATTTTAATAATTTATTAATGAGATATTAGGGGAACTGTTAAGAGTTATTATTATTATTTACTTTAATAATATTCTAGTCTTTATAAAAGAAACTAAGGAAGAGTATATATAGCATGTCAAAGCAGTACTCAGAAAACTAA